AAATGGGTTGTTGAAATACAAACTCCAATTCAATTTGACTTAATATCATGTGGTTCTTATTCGTCTTATTTTATAGAAGCGATATTCAAAAGCAATCCAAGATGTGTCAACGACATCCACAAGTGCTTTTCTGATTCATCAGCTTTTATTTTCGGACTGAAATTTTATCTTTGACATCAGTCGACAACATACAAAGAATTCTTAATCTTATTTCTTATTGTTGAATTAATTGTGTAATTTATTTTTTTTCTTCCCAAAAATGCATACTTAATAAAATTGTCCTATTAATATAAATATCAAGGGGTAGTATTCAATTTTTAAATCAAAAAGGAATATATAATGGGGATTTAAATCCTATTAAATAAATAATAAATCCCCAATATAATTGAGGATTTATTGATGTAAAAATATGGGTTTCATTTTTATTCCCAAAAAATATTTGATATAAAAGTCGGTGTCAAACTCATTTCATTTTTTAAAACAAGTTTGGCACCCTGTAAATACTCTATCTGTATATTAACACTCATCATTACAAATAGAGTAATTAATGGGTAACAAGAATTAATTGGGTGACAGATTTATTATAGTTAATTTAATAAGTCTTTTATAAATATTGTTTTTTAAAAAAATAAATAATGAATAAAAAAAATAACCACCATTTTTTTTACATCAATTAATCCCTAATTTTTTTTGTTACCCAATTTTTCTTTCATTTGTAATAAGTATTTGTTTGAAATGATTTAACTAGTATAAAATTGGTTTTAAGAACAAAAAAACACAACAATAAAAATATTTTTGTTGCTATTTTATTTGAAAATTTTGTTATTTGTGAACAATTGAGGCAAAAATAATTTGAGAATATAAATAGGTACATTTTCCAAAAATAATTTAATCCTGATATAGTAGATATTGAAAATATTAGAATGTTTTCCTATTTTATTACCTATTTTGGTTTATCCACAACAGACTATTTTGTAAACAATAAAACAAATGAAATACAATTAAAATGCCATTCCGGCGATATTGAAATAATTTTCGAGTAAAGATGAAATGAATTGGTCGTTCTGTTCAACAACAACGGTTCTTTTGTTTTTGAGTAGTTCAGTGAAGTAAGCGTTGATCTTCCTTCCAATAAAGAGGATATCGTTTTGACTCGCAAAGAAAGAACCGTTAGCATAAACATTGTCTATACGTTCTGTTTGAATTGACTTCATTGAATTCTTCGAAAGTTTTGAGTCGAAAAAGTACCCCAATTCAAGACATGTATCGAATATGAAATTCTGTGTAAATGCTATAATATTTTTGTTGAACCTTCGATCGGCAGTCTGTTGTGGAACACCTTCAGTGATTTCTTTTTCGTGAACTTTGGCGCAGAACGACGAAGCAAGAGCAAGGACATCGACTCTTGACGCTTGAATTTCGAGCATTACAATTTTTGGGATCGTTGATGTCCTCATTGATACCTTTTTAGGCCTTTTTAGTGTGATTCTTGCGTTTTGATTGATCAAAGCCAAGAGAAACCCGTGCTGGAAAGCAGTTTTATCTTTTTGTGCGCGTTCTTTGACTGCATTAACTGAATTTCCGTAAGCTTTTTGGCACTTGTTCATTGCTGAAGGTGGTGACATTGCGAGTTTCTATAAGTTTATATAGACGCCCTACACCTTTCCAAAATAATTTCAACATAACAGTTGTATTCATTGGGCAGTTTTACCGTTGTTTAAAAAATGCGCCATTTTCGGCAAGGGCCAAGATGAGCGATATAAACCCTTCTTTTCCGGCTTTGGGAAGAACCAAAATGTGAAAAATCTCTGCTCTATAATAAGGAAAAGCATTATTTGGAATTAAATTTCAAATCATTCAAAGGACTGTGAAAATGTCGTTCTCTTCTTTTTGGTCTCACCATTTTCTTTTTTCTTTCTTTGACTGATTTTCTTACTTCAACTTTTAAAATTCTCGGTATCTGTGTTTTTAACTCCTTGTTTTGCCTCGGTGTTTATTTGGCTGGGTTTTCGCGCAAAATTAACTGAAAATAACTTTTCATATGAAACGATCAAAATCCCATTAAGTTTGGCTATTTTACACAAGATTTTAGATTGCTTTTGGGCTCTTCATTTTCTTTTGGGGTAATTTCCAAGAAACTTGGCCTTCTTACCCTTTTCACAGTTTATTCAAGCCAAAAGTTACAAACTTGTTATTAAAGCGGTTTCTATATATATTTTGATTTATTTTCATTTGATTGCATTTCCCTTCAAAGTTTTCCATTTTAAGAATACTTAACCAGATTTCTCGCTTGTTTTTTGGAGGTTGTCCAATGATACTAAAATATACA